ACACGGGCCAAAATTGGCCCGTGACACGGGCCGGCCCGGGCTCGGCTCGGAGCCCCCACATGGGGCTCGGCCCCGAGCCTCGGCTTGGTGCGACTAGCCCGAGCCGGGCCCGGCTCGGGCTTTTTCCGAGCCGTCCGAGCCGTCGAACTTTTTTGCCTTCCCTACACTTAGACAAATGATGTTATATCATATATTCAATAAATAATATTGAATATCTTAAAAATTATATGATCTTTAATAATTTATATACTCATAGAATAATTTATTATAAAACGAATAATCTTGAAAATAAATATGTATTCATGAATTTGAATAATTTATTTATTCCTAAAATAATTGAATACCTCCCAAAACATGTGTACATGAATTTGATCACTTAATGTTATATTTAATATATCCATAAATAAATGTTAATTAGTATATATGCACATATATAAATATTTGAATTGTAGTATTTCTAGAGTAATTGAACAGTCTCCAAAATATATAAAGTGTACGTGCATGAATTTGAAAAATTAATTGATTGAATTATAGTATGATATATATATAAATTAATGTTATTTATTATCATACACGTAAATAAATAATTAAATTATATAAAAATTTCATTTCACATTAATAATTTTTTTAACGATTTTTTATATTCATAATTTTTAAATATTATTTTTACGGGGTTTATAAAGCATTTGGAAGCAACGCACTTTCAGGAGTTAATTTAATCAATACTACTCAACTTTAAACTTGTTACCACTTACTCACTCAAATTCAACGGGTTACCAAACGGTCACTCATCTTTCCTTATAGTTACCCATCCACCACTCATTCGACTTCCGTCTCTTCAATTTGACAGAATATTACACGTGTATAATGATTTTCTTACGTGGCAAACTCCTTCAGTTAAATTGCCAACGTGTAATTAAACTCACATCACTCTCCTCTTCAAACATGTTTCTCCTCCATTTTCTCTGCTAACCAATTCGAACCCTTAATTCCCAATTCAAACCCTGACAAGCGAAAATTGGTGGAATCCGCCATTGCCCAGCTCACGAAGGAATCTGCCAGCTCAAAGTGGTAACAAGTTTAAATTTGAGTGAGTGTTGATTAAATTAACTCATTATTTTGTGCATCCATGTGTTTTTGCATGTGAATCATCATAATAATGTGTTTAGCGAGCTTGCATCCACTCTTTTCTTTCTGACAAGTGAGGAAGATTGATAGGGAGCAGCAAGATGATGCTTACAGCCGCCGGTAGTTAGTCTAGTTTTCTTGTTCCTACCCCTAAATTGTGATATGAGTAGCCACAGGTCAACAAAGGGAACACTAAAGCCATTCGCGAGGGAGTTCCGTTTAGCCCCGTTCCCAAGAGCGATTTCCTTCTTTAGGGACCTTTCATGCACTAATTTTGTGTGAGCTTCAATGGTCTCAGCAGCAATATGAATCATCATGACAATTTGTGTGGCTTCTGTGTATGTGTTTCAATGTGTCAATTGGAAACACCTTGTGTGTGTGAATCTTTCTAAATTATTATCTTGGATGACTTTTTTAAATAACTAACTAGTATACATGTTTGCACCGTGCTCGAGTTATGTTATGGCATATGCTAATTGGATAAGTTAATGATCTTTTTAGGATGTTAGGTTTTTAAAAAAGTAAATTGGTGATGCCAAAGCTAGGTATAGTTGCATGAAGTACTATACAAATATCATGCACATACTTTGTGCTCAAGGGCTGTATTTTCATTCTAGCAGATGCTCAGTTTTTTACTGAAGCATTATGCCGCTAACTAAGTTTCCCATTATTCTAATAGTACGACTTATGAACTTGTTTAGTAATTTGTCATTGTTGGTATCAAAATTGATGCTATTGCCATTTCAACGCTTTCTTAGTACATGTTTGGCTATGCCTAAAAAGGTAGACATATAGTAACTTTTTTTGGCAAACATACTCTAAAAACATTTCAGCCTTCATTTGCAACAACAAGCTTTTGCTTTTCCCGTTATTTTCATGATAGTTCGGTGGAAGTTCACTCTGAAGAGCAGGAAGTGATAATTGCTGTGGGAAGTAATGTCATCAAAAACCTCTATTACGGGTATCCTTAACGTGACACCAGATAGTTTTAGCGATGGGGGAAAATATTTATCCACACAATATGCCGTTTCTCAGGTTCAACTGATGCTATCAGAAGGGGCAGATATTATTGATTTAGGTACACAATCAACCCGACCAAAGGCATCCAAGCTATCTGTCGAGGAAGAATTGGACCAACTTATCACTATCCTAGAAGTAGTCAAAAATATGCCCGAGATGGAGGGAAAGCTTCTATCTATGGATACATTCTATTCCTTGGTTGCTGTTGAAGCAATTAGCAAGGGGGCTCATCTTGTCAATGATGTGTCCAGCAGTTTGCTGGTTTATACCATCATGGATGAATGTATTTTGAATGAATGGTTACATTTCAACAGCTTACTGGTTTATATTTATGATTTTGAGAATGAATGAATGAATGGACTGTATTTTGGCCAACATCCAGTAGCTTCTGTTTTACTGGTTTCTGTTGTACTGGTTTATATTTACGGTTTTGAGAATGAATGAATGAATAAGGTGGAGGATTGAGAGTCACTTTAGTGAAAATAAGATGGTTAAGGTGGAGAATTGAGAGTCACTTAGTGAAAATAAGGTGGAGAATGATTTATCTGCAACAGGTATAACAAATTGATTTGGCATTGAGCAAACTGGATTGAACTCTAATAAATGTAGTCTGCCTTTTGGTCTCTTGAACACACTATAGTTTTAGCCTTAAATATCTAAATTTTAGTTTAAAGTTTGCTATAAATTAGTACTGGATATTCAATTGTAGATTCTGAGCTTACTCTGGGAACATGTAGAACTAATTACTCTTCCAATGAGTTCAAGAACAAAAGGAAAATTTGTGCACCTCGTTAAATGCAATTTTCAATAACCTCATAAGTAACATCTAATTCTAGTAACTCAACCACAAAAATGAAACAAACCAAGGCATAACATGATTAATTCATTCAATAATACAAAGTACACAAAGCCAAGTTACAACTATTACAACCATACATTACAACCACCGAGCTACTATACTCCAATAGCAAAAATTTGCTCCAAGATAGTCCCTCCTAGAGGTATTCCATGTATTTTACCACTTTCATATTTGTCCCATCCACGAATATTGAGACCATTTTGTAGCATATTCTTGTTGTTGTAAGACAACAACATGATAACCAATCGCTAGAAAGGCTGGCAACAAGATAGGATATAGTGATAGTGGTTCACCTCAGCAGCACATAGCAAAGAATACAGTATTCGACTAAAAATGCATGATCTTCATCTCTGGTTGATCCTTCAATTTCCATCTCTTTGAGGCGTGTAAAATCAAGATTGCGTAACTGACACCAAGAGCACATAAGAGGGCCAACTGGACATTGGATAATAACAGAATAACTACAGTTGCACACTTGGTAATATGAAGCTAAGTCTGTCTGAGAGAAGGGCGCCTATGTAATTCCCATCGATCAGGACAAAACTTAGATAGGTCCAACGTGATATCAACCCAACGAGAGCTAGCGGCAATTGATAAAGAGAGCAAGCGAAGAACACAATGAAGAGTAAGGCGTAATTGCGGGTAAAGCGCCTGACATTCTCATGAACACGGAGGCGGCTTTGGGACAGAGAAGATGGAGAAGAGTAACAATTAGAGGAGACGAAGAAAGCGAGGGTCCAAGACGGCGTGTAGCCGGAAAAGTGGTTAACCTGTCAACAACAACATCACACTGATTTTGGGAATTAAGGGGTTTCAATTTATGAAGGGTTTGAATTTAGGCAGAGATGTCGTGAGAACGGGGGAGAAGCGTAAGTTAAATGGAGAAGAGTCGTGTGTTTAATTACACGTTGGCAATTTAACGTGGGATGTTTGCCACATGAGAAAATCGTCAATCACGTGTAATTTTCTGTTAATTTTAATGGATGGAAGTGGAGTGAGTGGTTGATGGTTAACCACAAGGAAAGATGAGTGAGTGATTGATAACGCGTAAGGATGGCAACTGGGCTGGGCTGGACAGGGCGAGGGCGGGGATGCCCTCCCCGTCCCCCGCCGCGTTAAGAAATTCATTCCCCATCCCCGCCCCGTTCCCCGTTTAAGGCGGGGCGGGGCGGGGCGGGGCGGGAGTAGGTTATTTCCCCGTTTATTCTCCGTTTAAATTTTTTTTT